CCAGAATATAGAAAATCAGCTGGAGAAGTCTGGAGCGCACCTGTTGAGTTTCCATCTGGGTTTTTTGGGGGGTTACTTTGATTGCCTTAATGCTACAACCCTGTTGCTGAGCTCTGGGAATGCTTGGTGTGATGGGTCTTCAATTCTCAAGACTTTTAGACTGATAATTTTAACACCAAACCCACTTTGAGAACATGGGTCTTCCAACTTCAATTCCCCGAATTCTCCAGTCCGTGTGCTGGAGAACACCAGAGATCGAATGGTGGCCAATCTGCTGCTTGGGAGCCAGGAGGGGACCTCAATTTCTAGGGTTTTCAAAACTACCCTACTATATAGGGCATCCTATTGAGGTAGGATTACACCCTCTCTGGGGAACATATAATTCAGAAGAATTGGAGACCTACCATCTACAGGACACGGACCGGTCTTCTGGATTGGATTCCAAACCTCAGAATTCCTAATAGAATTCAGAGTTGGAGGCCCACCAACTGCATTGCCAAGTCCCCAATTTCTGAACACAGAATTCAGAAGAATTAGGGGCCACCAAGTGAAGGCATGGAGCTCTCCGTCTCCAAAGAACGGTGCACTTCAGCTTCCAGAAGTCTCCAAGCTGTGGGATGGAGAAAGATGGAAATTGAATTGCAGCCATCTGGTGTCTTGGGGAGAAAGGGGACATCTTAAGCTTCTCTAGCCACCATTGCTAAGGATTCTGGGAGCTAAAATCCCTCCCTCTGAAAGTTGCACCTTTCAATGGCTGGACTACAGCTCTCAAAACTCTTAACTCCTCCTGCAGAATTCTGGGAGTTGAGTGGGAGCCATCTAGTGCCTTCCACCCTGGAGGACTCCAATTCCCCCAAGAGTTGAAGTCCACACCCTTCTAAAAGCCAATTGACTTTCTGAAAGCAAGCGTTCAAGACTTGGTGGGTATACATGACCCACTTAGATCAGGATTTCTCACCCCTTAGCAAGATGTGTGGATTTCAAAACCCAGAATTCCCCAAACGAACTGGGGATTTTGGGATTTGAACTCCACACATCTTCAAGTTGCTAAGGATGAGAAACCTGATGTAATTTCTTCTGACATCTCAACATCTAAACTTGGTCTACACGAGAGGTCTCCAAACTTGGCAACTTTAAGACTTTGGACTTCCAACTCTCAGAATTCTGGGAGTTAAGTCCACAAGTCTAAAAGCTGCCAAGTTTGGGGACCCTTGGTCTACACAATCCTACCAGAGAAACACTCTTGGTCCTTACCCAAGGCAAAGGCCATGATTCCTTGACCCTACCATTCACAGCTTAAAGCTAGCTGAACCACCATTGCAAATGTATGGCAACCAAATTTATCACTTAAGGGCTCTTGGGCCTCAAGCATATCTCCATAAACCACCAAACGTGGTTCTTTAGCCAAGCTGAAGACTAAAGACTCCCTTCACCTAAGTTGCAAATTACAGAGAGTTCCTGGCTACATTGGGGATCCACTCACAACCAACAATAAGACTTGCTAACTCCTTATCCACTCACAACCAACAATAAGACTTACTCCTTATTCTAGACCTGATCTGTCCGGTGACCTCAAGCAACAAGTGTGTGTGTGTTGGGGGGTCTCAGTTCCTGGTGGGCACCACCCAGGGGGGCCAAGAAAGGCGTGCGTGGGTCACAGTGCAGTAAAAGCCGCGGGAAGAACGTTTCTCCATCGGGATCTGGCCGTTTTGCCCACTGCGGTTTCGGTGCAGAGCGATCCAGGCCTCCGAAAGAAATGCACAAGAGGCTGTTTTTACAAGCCGAGAACCGACACACACGATCCCTTCCCGTACAGAAATCAAAATAGGGGAATTGGGGGGAGTGGGGGATTCAAAGCATGCATTGTGCTGCCAGTCCAACTCTTCCTGCTGTTGTTGGTCCCAAGAGTTTTAAATAAGGTCACTTGGCAGGAAAAGAGCCAAGCCACAAAATGTGGTGGCACGTTGGTCTTCCATCTCTGCGTCTCCAGCGCTGGGTGGGTGGGATTGGCCTCCAGAAGAGGAAGGGGCAGCATTGAAGGCTGGCCTGTTTCTTTTTAAATTTTAAAGTAGGTATTATTTTGTGATGGTTTTCAGAACCCACATTATTATTATTCTAAAGAGGCAGGGGTTTTTTTGCAGCCAATGTGGTCTTTTTAGACTTCCCTGCTGGATGACAAAATTTTCTGGCATTTCCCTCCAGTGCATCAACTCGGCTTCAGGGCCAGCTGGAACAATGCAGCCCCTTCCTCGGCCCTCCACAAGTGGCAACAGCTGTCCAGTTACACCCCCAAAAAAATCTGTCCATCAGTCTCCATCGGAAAAATCCAAGTCTTCCACCACGTCCTCTTCTCCTCTTGCCAGCTGTTGCAACTCTGCCCGAGACAGCGGTTTCTGACGGTGGTGGCTCCGTTGGGGCACGGCCCTCTCGCCTCCTGGAGAAGGAAGGAAGGAAGACAGGGGGTGTCAATCCAACCTCAACGGAGAGAGGAAGAGGCACAAAAAGGCAGCTGGGTGCTAATTAATCATCGGTACTAATTAATGGATCATCTGCAGGGTGCAGGAGGGGGCGAGATGGAAATGGGCAGGATACAAGTTTAATAATAAGTAAAGCGATAAATAAACCAAAGCACCTGGGTGTTTCAAATGGGGATGGAGGATCAAAGAGAAGAAGAATCTTTATTTCTCTCCCCCCATTTTATTTTTTGGGGGGGGAGGAACAACCCTGTAAAGGGAGAGGCCTCCAAAACTCACATCCTAGAAATAAGGGGGGAATTGGGCTCCTCTCCAAATGTTTCTGGATGAGCTGTTGCAATCTACGGAGGTGAATTTAGAAGCATGCGCTTCCCTCTTAAAATGGGCTAGGGGGTGTTACTTCTTGAGCACATGGAAGGGGGGGTCCTTTGGGGGTTGGGACCCTCCCCCCAAACCCTCTGGTCTGCCTCTGCATTCTTCTGGGGGAGACTCACTCTGCCAAACCAAGTTTCCCACCTTCCCATCTGGCCCAAAGAGCTGGACCTGCAGATCTTCTCATGATGGTCTAGAAATCTGAGTTGGGTGACCTAGAACTATGGGGGTTTGTCCACCTGCCCACCCCAGAGAGGGGGAAAGAGGGAGAGGAGGAGGGGAGAACCCCAAGGGCCTTGGGAATGGCTGAGGAGCACCAGAATGAAGGAGAAACATACATGTGCACCCATCCATGTCACAGGTTGGGCTGGAAGCCACTTTACATCCGAGAACAGAACAGAACAGAAAGGAATAGAAATAGAATAGGAATAGAAATGGAAATTGCCTTCAGGTGCTTTGGAGAATAGCTTGACTCCCTCTTCTTTGGGGTAGCTCCTCAAATATTGGGACACTGCTATCCTGTCTCCCCTAGTCCTTCTTTTCATCAGACTAGACATACCTAATTCCAGCAATTATTCTTTATACGTTTTATCCTCCAGTCCCCTAATCCTCTTTGTTGCTCTTCTCTGCACTCTTTTCCAGAGTCTCAACATCTTTTTTACAGTGTGGGGACCAGAACTGGATGCATAATTGCAAGTGTGGCCTTACCAATAAAGTGGTATCAACACTTCACGTGATCTTGATTCTACCCCTCTGTTGATGCAGCCTAGGACTGGGTTGGCTTTTTTGGCAGCTGCAGCACACGTCTGGTTTATATTTAAGCAATTGTCTAATAGGATTCTGAGATGGACAGGAACATAAATTCTCCCTGCCCCCCATCCAGTGTGAACACAGCCATCTCAGGGTGAGGCAAACAGCCTGGACCCCCTGCCCCTTGGGGAGGAGGGCTGTGGAGTGGGGGGAAACTGTGCAGTGGGGAGGGTTTGGACCGGATAACTGGTCCCTCCAGGCTCAGGATTTTGCCCCCAGCGGAGGGAAGGTTTGGGCCAACTGGAAACTAAAAGCAGGGAAAACGGAAACTGGAGCAGCCGACCGAAAAGGGAAAGGGATAAACGAGATGGGGGGGGGGCAGTCCCGGAGAGAAAGCGGTGTGAGAGTTGGCACGTGGAAATGCCGAAGGGTGCCAGCCGTTGTCCACTCTGGCCTCTGGCGTCAGTCTATTCTGGGCACTGACACCGAGGCTGGCATGCCAAGGCTCTGCCATCTGCTCCTGAGAATTGGGCACTGTGCCGGGCTCTTTTAGTTGCAGAGCATGGGGGGGGGGGGGGTGGGGGGGGGGGGGGCAAAGGGAGGCTGGGGGGAGGGGGGTTTGGCTTGGAGGTGCCTCTCCTGCGGCAGGGCAAAACCTGAACCCCTCAACCGTTAAGGGACGGGGTTCAGGGACTCCGTGAGGGATGGCCTGCTCTCCTTTTGCACGCGGAAAGCCGCAAGGAAATCTCTTTTCATTCTTCGTTTCTTTACCATCTGAGTCGCTCAGGTTGTCTTCATCTCCTTCCTCTTCCTCATCGTCCACTTCATATTCTCCTTCCTCCTCCTCCTCTTCCTCACTGCTGCTCATGGAAACACGGTCTGCAGCCCCCTTCTTGCCTTTCTCTGCACCCAGAAAACAAAAATGGGAACAGATGTGATATACAGTCTATGAGCTCCACGGGGAATGTAAAACAGTTCTTCTGCAAAGAAGAAATTTAAAAAACAGCAGCAAATATTTGCACCACTCAAGTCGTTTAAGGCAGGGGTCTCCAACCTTGGCAACTTTAAGCCTGGAGGACTTCAACTCCCAGAATTCAGCCCTGCTGGCTAGGGAATTCTGGGGGTTGAAGTCCTCCAGGCTTAAAGTTACCAAGGTTGGAAGCTCCTGGTTTAAGGGACGAAAACAAGCCTTTTTATTCGTGATTTTTTTTTTTATCAAGAGAAAACAATGTTAGTGTCTGCAACAGCTTTAAAAAACAGAAGTGAGAGGTACGATTTATTGCAACCTGAAGCTTGCTTAGAAAACAATGTCGAAATTGGGGAGAAGGAATGAAAGGAGATGTGGCTCCCCAAACAGATTTTTATTTCAAATATTTTCCTAGGTTTTCTCAGCTAGAAAAGGCAGGAAATTCAACCCCATACACCTTCGACGCTCACCCAAGAAAGCTGGATTTGCAAGGAATGAAGTTATGATTGTAGCCAACAGATAAATCAGAGCATTATATATATATATGTATAATGTATAATGTATATGTACATCGAATGGGGCTACAAGGTTGGAAACAAGAGAGATAGCAAGGCTGTATGGAAACAGATCCTAATATTAATTCTCGGAGTTGGTGTTGGTTTTATTTAAAAACGGAGAAAAAGCAAGTTTCCAGACTTTTAGGAGATGGACAGCAAGGAAAGGGAGATTAGAAAAGATTTCTGGAAAAAAGTTATGTGCAAGTAATAAAATGCCCCAATACTTGAGAAATAAAAGTTCTAAGAATACGTAAATAAATTTCTGAACTTCTTACGGAGTAGAGGCTTATTTTGCCGTATTTTTAAAAAGAAACTAGAGGGGGAAACAGCCTCTTGGATCAGGTAAATAGTCCTGCAGAATATTTATTAAACTTTTCTGCTTTTCTCCCATTCAATTCATCAGCCTCTTGAACATAAACTACTTATTTCGATTTATTTACGACAATTTCGGAGTTCCCTTCCTCTTGCAGAAGTAAACTCGATAATAGTTTATGAGAGGAGGTGACACAGCAAGTCCCCCAGCTGCATTTATCTTTGCCTTTAAGGAAAAATATAAGGGGGTGCATAAGGAATCAATAAAACGAAGTTAATCTGCTCCTCATTCCTTCTCTTCACACGTTCACTAATTCAGATGAAAGGATCAGTTTCCTGCTCCAGTGCAAACCACAGGAGGAAGCTGGGGGTTTTGCACCACTTATATAAAAATATGCTAAGTATTTTTCAGATATTTTTGATACTGGATCTAGAGAGGCAGGTTTTTTTAAAAAACAAAAACGAACTACGAGTGTTTTTTAATAACAATTTAAAGCAATACAAGTTTCATTTTCTCATTGCAATTTATACACCCGCTTTCTACCCTAGATGGAGGCGTTTCCAGGCAATATGAAATAAAAATAAACTCAAGCCAAAATAAATAAAAACAGAAAAATAAAAACCATGAAGATGTGTGCATTTATTCTCTGCTTTCCGTTATATCCAACCTAGCAATTCTCCCAAAGCAGGAGAAATCGTAGAAGGAACTGAAAAAAATCAAAATGCAAGAAATGCTACTATTTAAAAAATAAACGAAACTCTCTGGTTTCCTGGTTGTGCTGGAGGTTTTTGTTTTATGATTCTCTGGCTGCTGAGTGTTTTATGCCTCGTTTTATTTTGCATTTGAATGTATTATTGTTCTGAGCTGCCTGGAGTCATAAACTGAGACGGGCAGCTATATAAATCAATTTAATAAATAAACCTCTGGCATTCCTTCCCGTAGGACAGAGGTAGTGAACGGTGGACTCTTGAGTGTTTGTGAGCTTCAACTCCCAGAATTCCCAAGTGTTTGTGGACTTCAACTCCCAGAATTCCCGAGTGTTTGTGGACTTCAACTCCCAGAATTCCTGAGTGTTTATGGACTTGAACTCCCAGAATATTCAGGAATTCTGGGAGTTGAAGTCCAGAGATCCTAAAAGGGCCATCGTTTCCCGCCTTTCCCACAAGGTGACGGCCGCCATGGGAAACACTATGAAATATCTTGTTGGAAGTGACCCTTCCCTCTCTCGGCTCCTCCGATTCTGGGGGTTCAGGGAATTCTTGCAGATTAAAATAGCCCCTAAGGGAAGTTTGGAGAGGATCCTAGGCTGATTGCACCATTATCTATTATCCTCCCCGCCCTGCAAACATTTCGGGGAGGGGGATGCTGGTGAATTAACTCTACAAAAGGAGCAGACCCCAATCTGCCAGCCCGCAGCCCCCAGCTGGGATCACAACAACGGAGCCCCCCTTTGAGGTTCCTTCTCTCTCCCCCCCCCCCCCCCCCCTGGTCACTGAAAGCCCCCCCCCCCTCTTCCCATCCACCCACCCCTCTTCCATTGGGGGTAATGTGATTACGGGCTTGGAAAGCCGCTAACGTTCATTAGACTTGCCGCCGTGGTTTTAATGTGGACAGATCGCTCATTACGAGCCCGGGTCCGGGGAAGACAGGCGTGCCAGCCGAGCCGTTTCCCCCTCCCTCCGCAGCTTTAATTGCGTCCTGACACAGCCATCCACCATCCCATCCTCCCAACAGCCCCATTAATAACCACAGGCAGCCACATCCCCCCACCCCACGTCCCCCCCACCACAGCCAGCAACCTCATCAGCTGGTAAATGAGAGCAATGTGCGGTGTCGCCTCTCCCCTGCAGACGAGCCATTGATCAAATCTGGCAGGCGGGAGGATGGGCCCCACCCTTCTGGGAACCAAGGGCGGGGAGGGGGTCTGGGATGGAGGGGAAGTGGGGGGGTGAGGTCCTTGCCCTCTTTCTCCCGAAGCAAGCAAGCCCAGCAGAGGTGCACTTGGGTTTTTAGTCATAGATCGGAGGCAAAAGAAAGCCGACGTGTTTGCTGGAAATGCAGACAGAACCAAGGCACTTTCTACCATATGTGGTGGTCATGCCCGGAAGCCCAAAAATATTGGATTAAAATATGGAGTTGGCTACAAGAGATAGTGGAAGAGCGAATAGAATTTGAACCGGAGTTGTTTCTATTGGGAATAATTGAGGGGAATTGTAGAAAAAAAGATTAAATCTATCCTATTACATATTCTGACAGCATCAAGAATAATATACACACAATGTTGGAAGCAAAATAACATGCCTACTGAGGAATTAATAATTCAAAAAATTATAGACTGTGCTGAAATGGACAAACGGACATTAAAACTAAAAGAGAAAGAAAAGTGAAATTTGGTATATTTGGTTGAATAATAGAAATAAGGATAAAGGAAATAAAATTACAGATAAAAGTAAATGAATGTATATAAAGATGTATAAACGTAGATGCTTATATGAGATTGATGTGTAGAATAATTTGTGTAATCATGACACAGCACTGTTAAAAACAAGATTAGTGTGTGTTAAAGGTGAAAAAGAACAATAAAAATTATTATTAAGAAAAGAAAAAGAAAGAAAGCCAACGTGTTTTAGAAGACGGTTAAGCTCCCACCCTGGTTAAAGCTGTGATTTATTTCAAGGATGGAACTTGGCTTTTGCAATGGAACAGCCAACAGCCGTAGTTGGGCAGACACAAGGACCAGAAAAATGGGGCGAAATTTCATTTCCATGGATGCCCAATGAGCGTCCATTCAAAGCTTGACAACACAATTTGGCACATCGTAAAAGGCAGCAAGCATTGTGTTTGCACGACAACGGGGATAAAATGAGTAGGTCTCTACAGATGGAAGGGTCAATAAAAAATTTTTTAAAAAAATGAGAATGTGCCGAGATGGACAGATGGACGTTAAAAAGAAGAGAAAGCGAAGAAAGAAGAGTGTGCTTTTTAACAGGGGATTTATTTTTACCGATGGCTAACTAACAGAAAGTGAGGTTGGAAAGTAAATATAAATAAATAAATCTAAAAAGATAATAAAAACGTTTGCACTGAAATTTTTGCAAGGTGGACCAACTCATTGTATTATTATTATTTGATTAATATTGATGTGTTTATTAGGATTACTAATATGAATATGGTTGCATCTTTACTTAAAATTGTGCCCAGACGAACATGCTGTTCAGATAGATATGGCGTTTTTTTTTGTTTTTAAAGAAAAATAAATCTTATCAATAAAACATATATTCAGAGTGACAAAGTTATTCTAAAAGTCTAAATAAATGGGGGGGAGGGGGAGGCGCCAGACATCTGCACAGCACCTGGAATTTTTTTCTGACTGGGGCTCAGCAGCTGAAGGTGAACAAATCGGTTTTCGAGGATATTTGACTTTATCTCGAGGGAAAGCCGGATGCTCCCCAATTTGGATCCTACCACCCTGCCTTTTCCAGACCAACCGATTCCACTGAGATTAGAGCTGCTATAAAACGCTAATGAGCGCTTAACTATGGCAATATTTAATTAAAAAAGAAGAAGGAGAAGAGGGGGCTGTGAGCTGCTGCTAATTAACAGAAAATTGGTAATTTCCTAGCTATTAACGGCTTATTTTCCACTCATCTGAACACAGGCAAGGAAGCACAGTGATGGCATAAATGGGTTGAACACAATCTGGCTTTATCGGGAGGCGCACACATGCTGTTTGCAAAATTGGGGGAGCCTGTGACCTCCTTTTGCATTAACTGCCTATGGGGTAGATAAGAATGAATCAATAGAATGCAGAGTAGAATAGAATAGAATAGAATAGAATAGAATAGAATAAAATAGAATAGAATAGAATAGAATAGAATCAGAAACGAAACAGGCCTGCTCTCTCCCCCTCTCTCTCTCTCCCCCACTCTCCTTTCTCTCTTCTTTATTCCCTATGGGGGGGGCCATTCACTGTCCACCTGTCTTTACTCCCAAGTTGGCCCTTGTTCCTTCTCCTGGCAGCTCTGTGCACGCGCACATTGGGCATAGGCTCCAGCTGTTCTTCCCCACTGATCTCCAACTCCGAAGGCAGCTGATAACTGTCGGACGCAAAGCCCTCATCAGAGCCTTCCCCAGACTCCAGGAGTGGCCCATGTTCCTCCCCAACCTCCTCGCTGGCAGAGTCTGCCGCCAGCTTTGCTGGCCGCTGGCAGGCCACAACCAAATTCATTAAATTTCTATGCCACCTCACTCCCAACGACCCAGAGCAGTTCACAAGTAAAAACATAAATAACATAATTATTAGGAAGGTTGGATGAAAAGAAGATGAACATCTACGGAGATGCGCCTGTTGTAGATAGCCGGCAACAGGTGCGGACGGCTGAGGAGAGTGAGGACTCAGATGAGTCCCCAGGACCATTAGGGAGTGGTCTGCTGCCTTCGGAGATTGTGGGGGCTGGCAGCAGCGATGAGGAGGTTCCCGAGGGCTGCTCACAGGAAAGAGCAGTTACAGCAGCACGGGCGACTCGGGAGTAAGGCTGCAAAGTAATGGCCCCTCCTTCAAGAAGATAAAAGCCAGCTGTGAATCAGACGTTCTTTGCAGGAAGCAAAGACGTTTTGAAACTCCAGCCTCGTGGACATTTCAGAATCTTAGTTGGTATTTGAAGACTCTTGTGTTGTAATATATTTCGAGGTAACCTGATCTGTTATTCTTGGCAGCCACGCACAGTTTTGGCAAGGCTTGTGCTTATCAAAGTTGAATAGTTAACCGGGGATTGTTAGAAACATTAAAAGGTTTCTGTTCCCTTTAGTTCGTGTTTGTTTTATTGGAAAAAGGTTTGGGTCAGAACAGCTCCATCTTCCAGGTCGTGGTTGTGCCAAAGGTGCTCTTTCAAAAGGCAACTGGACTTTGATTTTCAAAATACAATTGAAAGAGCACCTTTGGGAAAAAGAAGGTAAATTCCAGATTAGATTTGTAACCCTTGCTAGCCTTAAGGCCCTTAAAACAGAAGTCAAGTTTCTATACCTCATTAATCTTTAAACTTTGGAAAATTCAAGGAAGCTGCACCCACCAGGAACATTGATTAAAAATAAATAAATAAGAGGTTTAAATTATGTCCCATCTCCCAATTCCCTGTCTGCCCTCCCAATTCGGCTCCAACCACCCCATGGTTGGAGGGCTGCCAGGTGGAGGAAGGAAGATTTCCACGTGTGACAGCAGCTTTTTTTTCCTCCACCAAGGATCTGCTCCAGTTTCAACATCTACCTAGACATCTCCCCTCCTGGGAAAACCCGTCTTGGCTGAGTTGATAGCTTCCTTTGAAAAAAAAGAAGAAAAGGAAAAGGCCAACAACATCAGCGGTGCACCGAGGCACATCTAGGTTGCCTGTTGGAAGAATACGGGAACAACACGCGTAGCTACATTGCCGCCTCGCACAGAAGTCGAAGCAAGAGAAAAACCCAGCAGGATTTTGGTTTTGGACAGAGATAGTCTCTCTCTCTCTCTGTCTCTGTCTCTCCCCCTCCCTCCCTCCCTCTCTCTCTCACACACACACTCACCTCAGGACAAGAAAGACAGCAAATCAACCAGGGATAGATAACACCTCAATTAATCCTTCAAAAGAATATGTGGGAAAGGGTGTGGAATTGGCTGCAGCAAAGCTTAATCCATCCGTCTATCTATCTATCCTGTCATATCTGTCATTTCTCTTTCTTTCCCTATCATGCATGCATCCATCCATCCTTTACCTATCATCTGTCTCTCTATCATCTGTCTGTCTGTTTCTATCTATCTATCTATCTATCTATCTATCTATCTATCTATCTATCT